CTACATCCTCAGCCCACTTGAACTCTATTTATTATAGTAGTACCTAGCATGAAGTAGTCACACAAATATCAGTCCCCTCCACATATCTCCCACATATTATTCTGCAGCCCAGGGTCTTCAGGCTGAGAGCTGACATCTATTGTTGGGTCTGGCCTGAGCAAGTCACATGATTTTTTTTTGGGTCTATTTCTGTCCATCTGCCCCCAAAATTCTCATCTCAAATTTTTCCACATGCTTGAAATATAAGCTATACATTGGTAAGAATATAGGAAAGCCTTCAAGTTTCTTAAAAGAACATTTACTATAGCCTTTCAAGGTCAGTGAAGACTCGGGACATAGGAGAACCTGTACTGTAACAACATGTAATTCAGTTGTGCTCCAAATTTTCTGATCAAGATTATGGAGCAACAGAGGAATATATGTGCCTGGGGAGAGTCACATGGAGAGAAAAAACATTTTCTTGGGCTTTCACAGAGAGCAAATTGGTCAAGCAATGGCTGTGACTCATCCTCATGGCTGACACTGACAAAGGATCTACAAAGTGCGGTACAGGGCTACAGGATAAATCCTGAGAGTACTTGGCTGACCTTATCAGATACAAAAGTTACATTTCTTGTTATCTAGGTCTTGCTTTATCTTGGTCCTAACCATCCAGCAGAAAAGCATAAAAACAAGGTATATAAAGTAAAACCATATTAATATGATGAGTTGTAAAAGGCTCAAGTCATAACTTCTGAGGAAAGCTCACTAATATTATAGACTGTTAGACAGTGTTAGATTGTTTAGCTGAATTCAAACACCTATAGTATGTAGATGCCAATAGAATATTCACCTCTGACAGGACTAAACAAAAAAAGGGGATACAAAGGAAAGATCACTTTGTATTTATATATACAAAATAGGATATACAGCTACTTTCACTTAATGAGAAGAAAGAGGTGTGCTAACAGTGTTTGGACAGAATGTCCTGTCTGCTTCTTGTACTATGGATAACCACTAAGAAGATAACAATGTACAATGTATTGATTATCAAAACTGTCCTATTAATCAGCTGTGAAACTGTAAAAAAAAATAAAAAATTTAAAAAAGAAAGTTTACCAGGGCTGGGGTATAACTTAGTGATACAGTGCTTGACTGTCATGCGTGAGACTCTGGGTTCAATTATTAGCACTGCAAAAATAAAAACAAACAAACAAAAAAAACCAACTAAACATTGGCCAAGCCTTAACACAGTTTCCACTTTGATGATTTTTTTTTTTTTTATCTTCTGGGAAGACAAGGTAACTTGTTGTTCTGCACTGCTGCCTTAGGGAAAAGACAGGGTAATCTGCAGCCCTGTATTACCGCCTCAGAAGTTTTCACAATCGGATACTTAATCCCTGAGGCCCTGAGGACCTCGTGATGTAAGGCCAAGAACAATTGTGAATTCACGAAAGAGAGAGATCACTGTCTGGAATCAGGATGTAATTAGTAGAAAAACACTAAAGATGTCAAGACAACAGAACAAGGGCGTTTGTTGAGATCCAGCTGGCCATAAAGAGGACCTTATACCTATGTGCTCCTTTTGTGTTCACAAATATACAGGAGTATTTGCAGGTTCTGCGGTGTGTGTGTGTGTGTGTGTGTGTGTGTGTTGGGGTGTGGGACAGGCAATGATGAGCTTGCAAATGTCAATTCTGAAGAGAGCCTTGATTTTTAGTGGTAGCCAATCTGAATGATACTGTCACTATGGCCAGTGTAAGGCTATCAAGTAAAAGGCACAGAATACAAGATCAGGGAGAGATACACAGTCAGTTCTCACCAGCAGGTGCAATCAGCTCCAGCCCATTGCCGGCTTACATTTCCAGCTCCTCTGTTTTTCAAAAACAGACAACCTCCCTGCTCCCTACAGTACCTGCTTCTCCAATTATGGCTATTTCTTTAGCCTTTTTTCAGGCTCCCGTTCATATCTCCCAAACAGAAACATTTATTGTTACCAAACCAAGCCTCCTTTGCCCACTAAGCATTGGCCTAGTCACTGAAATAACAAATTTTACAAAAGAGAAAAACTCTGCTTACAAAGTAGCTAACCATGAGGAAACCAAAGTGCAGATCTCAATCTACCTCTCCAAGAATGGGGTCTGAGGATATTTATCAGCTGAGGGTAGATATAGCTGATAGAGAGTATGTCTAGGGGTTAATTCGGGAACCAAGAGCAAGTAGTTTGTTTCGATTTCCCCTTAGTTTCAATTCCATCCTAATAGTTTATTCTTTTACAAAAGTTCATAGTTCATCACAACTCATAGAAATGCTGGAACAATTTTGGTGTTTTTTTTTCTTTAAATTCTCCACAAACGTTAGCAAGATCATTTGTTTGTTCAGAAAGCAGTGAACAGGATGCTATGGGCATGTCACTAAACCACCTGCCCTTAAAGATTTGGCAAACTCCTGCTGGCAGAAAACTGGGCAGGCAAGAGAAGAGGACAGCTTCACTTCCTGCTCTTTACGAATTAATTGGCTGCCAGGTTCTCTGGCAGGTGGATGAATTTTTTCCTCAGGCTGCAGGAAACCCTCTCATATTAGTGTGGGGGGTGGGGGATTTCCTTTGAAACTCTCCACCCTCTTTCTTCTCCTGTGAAATCCTGTATCTTGGAGCCATTCCAAACTAGATTTAGGCCTCATGGTGCCTGACACTATATTTATATACTTGGGTGATGGGGATCGGGGTGTGAGAGAGGTATTTAGAAAAACAATTCAAAACTGTAAACATACAGTAGCTAGGGTCAGGGCCTTTGGAAGGGGTCTGTGGAATTGAAGGTCTCTAAAGCTGAAGCTTCATTAGCTTTCAGTAAATACCGCCCTGAAGTCAGACACAGACTATACTCAGAAGGAAACTGGAATTTTGCCTGGTGATGTTAAGTGGTGGAAATGCCCTGATTTTTTTTTTTTTTTCCTTTTTGATAAAGAGGAAGACTTGGAACCCTGTACCATCTGAAAACTCTGCCTTCAAAACTGATGCTGGAGGCCTTCACCTGCCTTCCAAGAAAGCCACTGTTCTTGTCTCATTCCTGCAGTCTCAGCTGGCTTCTTGCCTATCTCTTGGTAAGGAACAGGCCTGGCATACCTGGGACTGGCAGACCTGCTTTAAGGAAGTGGCTCCTCTAACCCCTACTTCCAGAAGCATTGTGGGTGAGAAGGGCCCTCTAGTGGCCAGCCCTGCAGTTCACACCATGCTACCTCCTACCTGTTCTCTTCAAGGTGTTCTAGCTTGTTGCAGTGCCAAGAATTGGAGGAACCTGGGGAATGAAAGCCCACAAACATATTTTCCAGCTTGCTATCAATTGGGAGCCAGAGAATTTTGTTGGAAGCATTTACACTTGGGTTACTGTCTTAGTCTTACCATTTTCCCCCCAAGGCCTGCTAAACCTTAGGGTCCTCACCCACCAAAACATGATAATCTTTAATCTAGGTAGAGGGGAAGATTGAATGGAAGAGCATGTGTAGAAAGTGAACATGTAATGGATACTCAGTAAACATTAGCTCCTTACTGTTCCCTTCAAATTAAAAATCCATAGAGGGCAAAGAAGGGAGGAGAATATGGATCCGAAGAATTTTTGTTTTGAAGCTATATGGTTGTTCTAGCTTGTTGCAGTGCCAAGAAGTGGAGGAAGCTGGGAAAGCTCTGCCTCTGAGCTTTACCTCCATCTCAATTCAGGTGTGATTTAAGGTCTAAAATTTTTGGTGAAGGAGGTGGAAAGTTAGAAGATCACTGGCCATTGTTTAAGCAGAAAATTCTGATGTGCTTTGACCAGTCCCTTTTTTTTTTTTAAGATAGGCTGGCCTCAAATTCCCAATCCTCCTCACTGTGCCTCCTCAGTGCTAAAATTACAGGCATACAACATGACACCTGGCTTCTGGAGACCAATTTTAAGCAGGTCAGTGGATGCAGTGTTCAATCGTGAGTGGAAAAGGCCGCACATTGGGTCATTGAATTACCTTACCAACCACTCCATTATCACTAAGCTGCTACCTCCAGATGTATAGCTTTCCTGTCACTCTAAAAGCTTCATTGGCATTTAGTGACCTGGCCAGATGACCCAGCAGGCTTGTGAGCTTCTAGCCATTTGATGAGTTGCTGTATCTGTCACCTTAATGTTGGTCATAGCAGATGGGAAGACTTCGGCTGGATGGCCCAAGGACCATATTGTTCATCAGTCAGCTGCTCCGCACCTCAGGCCTCTTCTGCTTTCTGGTTGCTTCTCTCTCCTGCCCTTCATTCCCATAGAGTGGAAAGTATGGCAAGGCCCACTGAATCTGTGAAGCCAGTCTCCTACAGGGGATCCCTGGGTACATATTCCTTTCTAGGGCATAAAACCCACCATACACCTCTGTTTTGTTTCAGAGTAGGCATACCAATCATCTCTCCCTTCCCTTGTTCTTTCAGCCCACGGCTCTTAAGTAGCCATCATGAACTAGGCACTGAGCTACACACTTCCCCTTTGCTAAGAACTTTCATATTCATTACCTCAGCCAAGGTCTAGTCCTATAGTCTATGGTTTTCAAAGAGAAATTTATAAGCTACTGTATCAGCACATCTCATTAATGGTGAGATTACCAAATTGATGGAGGAAAGTACCTTGATATTCCCTGAAGTGATTGTGTGTGTGTGTGTGTGTGTGTGTGTGTGTGTTGCTGGGTACTGAATCCAGGACTTTGTGCATGCTAAGCATGGGACCCCGAAAGGAGAGAGAGAGAGAGAGAGAGAGAGAGAGAGAGAGACAGACAGACAGACAGACAGACAAAGAGAGAGACAGAGAGAGAGAGAAGGGGAGGAGGAAAGGAAGCTCTTCTTTTTCTGGGAATAGGGCAAAGTTGATACTTCTCTCTTCTCTGAAGGGCTGGAAATCCCGGGAAAAGGCCGTCCCAAGGGTGCTGGCCCATTTAAGAGGGGGTGGGCCCAATTTGTTTGTTTTATGACAGGTGATTCAAATTCTCTTTGTATTCTCTCAGCCTGCTCCTTGTTCATGGAACCAGGCTGCTGCTCCCTGCTCTGTCCACTCAGCTCCAGCATGTGTGGCTGTTAGGAAGGAGCCTGATATAACCACAAAGACACAGACCTGGACATCAGGAGACTGGCGGGGTCCAGCAGTGACACTCTTCTTAAAAGTATGGTTTTTGGCTATGGTTTTCTTGTCTCTTTCTGCATGTTCTTCTTCCCTCCTACCTGGCTGGGTTACACATAGCAGAGCTGGGACTGTTGCCACGGAGGCCAGGGCAGTGGTGACACAGGAGGGTCTGGCTTGCCTGTGGGAGTCTCTTCATAATTTTTATACTCACCTTAATCAAAAAGTAATGGGTGCCAGTTCCTAGACTCCCTTCTCAGTTACCTTTCCAAAAGTCCAGAGCCTGGAGAATGTGCAGCAGATGGGTGTCTATCCCTGGAATTTTCAGACTCACGGCTGCCCTTCCTCTCTCACTCTGAGCTTAAGCTACTTGTAGAGGATATGAAGCATTAGGCTCTATTTTATTTTATTTTTGTGATGCCAGAATTCAACTTAAGATCTGGTGCATGCTAGGTAACCACTTTAGCACTGAGCTATATTCCCAGCCCTGAACTTTATTAATAGTCCATCCAGCTAAATCACTTAAATTTAGTAGTTAACTATTATGCTTAAATACTTTTAGAAAAACTTCTCCCTGTCAGTTATAGGAAAAAAATATTCTAGAGATGTGCTTAGACAAGCATATCATTCCTTTGTCTCTGCAAAAGTGATGCCATGCTACCATTTTTCATACTGGAAAGAAATCCCTCTTCAGCACCTGAGGGCACTCGACAGTGCTATTGACTGTCATTATTCATTTTTTTCACTCATGAATGCCCGAAGCTTTATCTTACTCATTCGTGTCACTCCCAAGGTGTCCATTTCATGTTGTAGAGTCTGTGGAGCACCATTCATCTTGTAGATATCATAGCTTTGTAGAGTTATTACAACAATTTTCCACAGATGGCAGTAGAGTAACTTTAGAAGCCTCCTTCCCTAATTCAAGATAAAGCCACCATATTGGCTTAGGTGGGACTGACATCCCCAATATTTAGAATACTTAGAACATAAAAAATACACAATAAAAATTGGCCAAGTACATTTCCTCAACATTTTAGTTATAAAAAGTCAAACTTACAGAAAATATAGTACAGTGAAATGCTATATACTGAAAGAATATAGTACTATTCATACAGAAAGAATAGTACAATGAAGATCTATTCATTCCTTGGCTGGGGATATAGCTTAGCAGCATAAGTGGCTGCCAGGTAAGTGCAAGGTCTTGAGTTTGATCCCCAGTACTGAAAAAAAGAGATCTATATATTCTTGTGCAGATTCAGTAGATGTTAGTTAATATTTGTTATATTTTGTGTGTTTATTGATTATGATTATGATTAAATACAGGGCCTCATGTGTGCTAGGTACATACTATACCACTGAGCTAGATTTCTAGCCCTATTTTTGCAAAATGGTTTGAAAGCTAACTGTAGTTGTCACACCATTCAACCCTCAAATATTTCAGCAGGCCTGTTCTGAGAATTAGGATATTCTCCTATATAACTTCAAAACCATAATCACACCTACAAATAATTAACCATTATTTTCTAGCATCACCTACAAAGTTATAAAAGTTGCTGTTGGTCTCCTACTGACTTCTTGTCCTACACAGAGATTAGCTCCTAACAGATTCCATTTATTCACATATCCACACACACTTCCAGTGTATTTTTTCTTGACATTCTTGGCTGGCTTGAGTGCGTATGCTCTGCCCTCACAGGATAGGCTAGAAGTGCTAGGGAGTCAACATTCCAAGTGTCCCTCAAACAATAAAGAAGTTGATTGATAAATACTCAAGCTCATTTCCCCACAATGAATGGATTTTGAGTATTCTACTGAATTTCTGGAAGGCTCCACAGCACATTTCCCCACAGTAGTAACTTGTTCATTAATATATCCTGTATCACTTTTCTTCCCTCTCCTATCTTACTTTCTATGCTTCCTGAGTTTGCCTTAAAAAAAAAAAACTGCTCAAAGCTTTGTCTGAGTGTCTGCTTTGGAGGTACCGAGAACCAAGACACCAGTCCAGTGCTAAATTTATTTTTAAATGAAAATAGTACAACACATTGCTCTTGGATCCACAGAGAAACAAACTCAAAACTTGCTTGGGGGAGCTTGCCCCCAACCAACAGGAGTGGCTCTTAGTGATGAGCCTTACTTGAACAATGTTATAGTGAGGCTCTGCTTGTTCACTATACCCAACCCAGCCTATCTTAATAATAAGTAATTATTGCTTAATAAGGGCTTACTGTGCCGCAGCCTTACATGTTCCATTTCATTTCCTCCTCATGGCAACTCTGCAGGGAGGGAACTATCATCATGCCCATAGCGCTGATCAAGAACCTGAAGTTCAACAGGGGTTAAGCAACTTTTCACAGTCACGTAGCTAGTAAGCAACAGATCTCTGGTGTATTTAACCAATGTGCTAAAATATATGGACAACCATAAATATTCTTCTATTTTGATACACATGGGCACAATAACACTTGTTACATAACATTTTTGCATTGGTTATAATACCATGAACATATGTTTTTTATTAATAAAACAAGTTACTACCAACTGCTAATTTTTGAGAGTTTAATGCAAGGATTCCCCAATTAGATGAGAGCCTGAAGGAACTAAAATGATCTACCATGCCTGGCTTGGTACAGTTTCCACACTAGGCTCTCTTCTTCAGCATTATTTCAATTGTGTGTAGTCTTCCAATATTTGACTGTTGTGAAAGTCAAATCTCTCCTTAGACTCGTCCTATCACAATCTCTAAGCTATCAGATTGTAAAAGCACAATCATCTCACTTGAACATGACTAAATGAAGCAAGATGTGCTACACATTTTTTGCATAAGTTCAGGCTTCCGTAGAACATTACATCCCTGTTAGTAATATCCAGCCCCACCTAGTAACCTAGGTACACAGGAAAACTTAGATCTTAAGAAGATGTCTTTCCTAATTACTGTCTTCTCTAAGAATCCATAAAGAGAAATAGACTTTGAACCCAATTTACCTTATTTATTTGACCTTACTGTCATAAAGTGTTCAAATTCAAGTATTATAAAGGATGGTAACAAGGACAGAATTCAGGGTCCCAGGCAGAGAACAGAAGGGCAAGGGAGTCTCCTTTTTCAGAGCTCGGCAGGTAAGTGGGAAACCTATCCTATAGAGAAGGTAAACAGTCAAGTGAGGTAAATTCATTATGAAAGTTGATGTTTTGGTTGAGAGGAAGGGAAAAAAAGACATCAATTCTCTTTTTTACAAGGGGATGGCTATGGGGTAAGTCTGCCAAGAAGCCCACATCTCAGTTTTTGTTAAGTAACTGTTGTGGAGAGTCTTGGAGATAACTATTAATGGTCAAATTATGAAATGATTATCACAGTGTGGCAGAAATATCTTGGACAAAAATTTTAAATTATAAAATAATATTAGTACTGGTTGAATTATATTAAAAGATTGATGCAGGCTTGCCAGCCAGAGGGGGTGATCCTGGCAGGACTAAAACTTGCTCTTAACTAGATGGGCCTGAGACAGGGGAGGCACAGAGGCGCCCCAGAGTGGTCTTACATGTATTTTGGGTCCTGACAGTTAATACCCATGTTAAGGGGATAACACTGCAAATTGCCAAGATCAATGGCGTAGCCAGGAAGGGAAAGGATGACTGACATCTTACGAGGAAGAGATTATTAATATAAGCAAGAGTTTGAGTAAGAGCTTTACCTTGGGAGTCCTGGGTTTGAATATTCCTTTTGGCAGTTATCATCGGTAGGATTTTGGGCAAATTGCATCATCTCTCTAAACTTTTAGAAACTACTTCAACAGGGACCAGCCAGATAGCTAACTGGACTAAAGCACCTGCTTAGGCAGGCACAGTGGAGAGGGTTCAATTCTTGGCTGCTCAGAGACAGAGCATGCTTCTCTTCCTTCCTTCATTGTACTGTATACAGGCTGTCTGCCCCAGGGTGGGTGTAGCAGTCCCGAACCCATGGTCCTAGCATTGGATCATGAATTAGTCACAGCCTCTAGAAGTCCACCCCATGATTGCATAAGGCTTTGGGGGGACAGACACAGACCATGACAACTTACTACTGTATTATCTTTTCATGTCATTAACCTTAAGAACATTGAAGTTGGACATGGTGGGGAATGTCTGTAATCCCACCACTCTGGGAGGCTGAGAAAAGTGAGCGCAAGTTCAAGCCCAAACTGGAAAACCTGGCTGAATTCTGCCTCAAAAAAGTAAAAATGGGGGCTGGGGAGATGGCTCAGTAGAATAAGTGCTTGCCTGGCAAGCGGAAGGGCCTGAGTTCAATCCCTGGTTCCGCCAAAGAAAAAAAAAAGTAAAAATGGCTGGGGTTGTAGTTTAGTGCAAAGGTCCTAGACTCAATCCCTAGTCCTACTCCTCCAATTCATGGTATTCCATTAAAAAATAAGTCATCACTTATTTTATTTAACCCTCTATGGTTAGTCATTTTTAATTTTTTAAATTATGAATACTTTTGATATTAATGAAGATAATGTGCTTTTCATAAAAAAAAAATAAATTCTTGGCTGCTGAGCCTGCCCCGCCCCAGGGGCACACTGAGACCGTGATTGAGACTGGGTGTGGTGATGCACACTGTAATCCCAATGCTTGGGAGGCTAAAAACAGGAGAATCACTATGAGTCCGATCTATGTAGTGAGATCCTGTAGACCTTGTAGTAAATACATAAAAAGAAAAAAAGAAACTACCTCAACAAGGTGGTTGTAGGGCTTAACTGTGATTGAAAGGACACATGTGACAATGCAATTGCATAGTATGTGTTTCTACTATATTTTACAGAAATACTATGTTTTGTAGTGCTGGGGAGTAAACCCAGAACCTTGAACATGCTTTGCAAGTGCTTTACGACTAAGATAAATCTTTGGCCATAATGGTATTCTTGAAAGGAAGTAAAGGATACATATTTTTTTTTCCAGATTGAGGTAGACAATATCTTAGGGAGAGGTATATAAAAGCAAAAGCACAAAAAAGGGGAGAAAGGTGGCCTTGATTATGTACTATTTTTAGTCCACACTGGGCTACCGGAAAGAATATTAAGGAGAGGTGCAAAGATAACAAGTTTTAAAACTAGAGCCCATGTTTCCAATGAGTCCTTCCTGAATAGATACCTTTGGAATCTATGGGATCTTATTCTCTATTATCAGAGAGCAACTTTCCAAAAATGACCAGAGAGGGTCCTTCAAAACAATAATGACTTTGGTTAGTAAAGACTACCTGAGGGCTGGTGAGATGGCTCAGTGGTCTAAAGCAGCTACTTAGAACAAGCTTAGCAGCAAAGCAAGGGACCACGGTTCAATCCCCCAGCATCACATGCCAGCCAGCCCCGCCCCCTGGTGGGCTGAGCTGCCCCCCCCACATTTAAAAAAAAAAAAAGACTATCTGAGAATAAAGTTGGCTTCATTTCTTTTCCTGTGAAAATGACATTCTATCAGATTTTCTAGGGAAGACTGGTTTTACCTTCTCTGGGTTGTCCTGTATCTTTCAGCCTACTGTATCTCCTTGTGATTTTCTTTTTGTTGCCTTGAAAGAGTTCTTAATACCAGAAGTACTTTGAACTGACTTGGATCAGCATTGTTTAATTAAAAACTAGAAGTATTACCGTTATAGCTGGGATGACTCATCTGGCACTTTATTTTAAATAGCAAATAGACAGGAAGAAGATTCATAAACTCATTATAGACCAAAGTGCAAATGAACTGCACTCTTTCCCCCCAGCAGGTTTAACTTCAGTTTATTAAAGATGGCATGGAAGAGCAGAGACCTATTGCAAATATGCAGATTTCTTCTTGTGGTGATTTTATTTTTGCCATCCAAGACAACAAGTAAGTTAATACTCTCTTTGGCCTCTTCATAGATAAGAAACATCTGGGATTTTTAAAATGATCAAAGGCTGGGGATGTAGCTTAGTGGTAGACCATTTACCTAGTATGTTCAAGGCCCCAGTTTCAATCCCCAGCACCAAATAAAAGAAAGAAAGAAGGAAAGAAAGAAAGAAAGAAAGAAAGAAAGAAAGAAAGAAAGAAAGAAAGAAAGAAAGGCTTGTAATCTTAAGTACTTGGGGAGCCAAGTTTAAAGCTTGCCAGGGTAATTTGTAATGAGGCCATGTCTCAAAAAGAAAGGGCCGGCAAGATAGCTCAGTAGATTAAGTGCCTGCTTTGACAAGTGCAGGGACCAGGGTTCATCCTGGGTCCCGCACACTGTGCCAGCCCTGCTCCCCGGGGCATACTGAGCTGGGCCACCAAGACGAGGCATGGTGACGCATGCCTGTAATCCCAGCACTGGGGAGGCTGAAAACAGGAGGATCACTATGAGTCTGAGCTGCATAGTGAGACCTTGTACCAAATACATAAATGAAAAAAAAGTAAGTTAAAAAAAATCTATTGATAAAAGTAATGGGATCATTGCCTAATATTTTCTAGTAAATTGGAACAGTATACACCAAAACATTGAATGGTTACTTATGGATGATAGGATTTGGGAGAGTTTTTATTTGGGGATATTTTTTGTTTGTTTGCTTGTTTAACTTTTTGTGGTCCTGAACATTGAGCCCAGGGCCTTACATATGGTAAGCATGCACTCTACCATGGGGAGCTATAGCCCCAACCCTTTTCTCCATCTTTATGGAGATATAAATATCTCCATAGCTATACTTTTATAGATAGCTATACTTCCAAAACTATTTTATAAAAGCTATACTTCCAAAACTATTAAAACATCAGAAATGCAAGATCAAATTAGCCCATAATCTATCATCTAATCGGAAAAGTGTTCTCTCTGCTTAGGCAGAGCGCAGTGGCCAGGGTTCAATCTCTGGCCTGCTGTGCTGGCCCCTCTCCTGGGGTGCACTGAGGTGGCAATTGAGACTAGGCATGGTGGCCTAATCCCAGCACTTGGGAGGCTGAAAACAGGAGAATCACTACAAGTCTGATCTGTGTCGTGAGACCTTATAGATCCTGTACCCTGTACACCCTGTACTAAACACATTAAAAAAAAGAAAGAAAGAAAAAAGAAAAAAAAGTGTTTTTAAATCAGTTTTGGCCCATTTTCATTTTGCTTGGATACACTTATACTAATTATGAGATGCGATTCATATTCTGTCTTTCCTTCTAATGTTATGCCTTAAATATTTTTCTATTTTGCTATGATTCTTTTTTCTCTTTATCTTCCTAACCCTACTCCCTTGCTTTTTCCTACTTCTAACTCCTTGAAATAAGTGAGTGAAGTCTGGTTATTCTCCACTTTTTTTCCTCTATTTTATTAAATCAATCCTAGTTAACATATAGACAATTTTTCTACAATCATTTTGGAACTATTCTGTACATTTTTTATTTCTAACCCCGTGGTTCTCAAAGTTTTTTGTACATTAGAACCACTAGGAAGGATTTTAAAAAGTCGAAGGCTTCCAGGCATGGTGGCACAGGATTGTAATCCAAGCAATAGGGAGGTTGAGGGCAGGCGGCTCACCTCAAGTTCAGGGGCATCCCTAGCTACATAATAAGTTAAGGTTGGCCTGAGCTACGTAGCAAGACCCTGACTCAAAAAAACAAAACAAACAATGCTCAAGTCTGAGGTTACATTCCTATCAGTCAATCAGATGTCTGGGGGTGAGAGATACTGGCAGTATGACTTTTTAAAAATCTCCAAGTATTTCTAATGTGCAGCAAAATTTGGTAACTAAGTAAATAAAATTTTTCATTTTTAGTTAAAAAGTACATTTTGGAGGCTCTTTCCTTGTAAAAATCATACAGCACTATTTGACTATTTTTGATTGATGAGAATTAACTTTATCACACTGATGAAGCATGATTAATTTAACCAACCCCCTATTAATAGATATCTAGCTCGTGCACTCTGCATATGTTAATAGTTTCTCTCTATACTTCCAGGTTCTGTTTTAACTGTGAATGGTAAAACTGAGAACTATATCCTGGACACTCAAACTGGTGTTGAGGAATCTTTGGAATGTGCCGTTCATAACCACACCAGAGATGAAGAACTCCTCTGGTACCGGGATGATGGAAGAGTGGGTTTGAAAGCTGGAAATAAAATCAACTCCAGCTCTGTCTGCATCTCTTCCATCAGTGAAGATGACAACGGAGTCAGCTTCACCTGCAAGCTACAGAGTGATCAGATGGTGTCCATCTCAGTGGTGCTGAACGTCACTTGTGAGTGAAGGGAGAATACAGGGTCAGTCCATCTGTGCTGTCTGTACTATGTCAAGTGGTTGCACTCTGAGTGTTGGTTTGCCCTATTGATGCTCCCGTAGGGTCTTAGTATGTAGTTCAGGCTGGCCTTGAGCTCACACTAAGCCTCTTGCCTCAGCATTTACTCCCTACCCCATACCTTTTCCAGCACTATCTGCTAGTTACATTTGATTCTATTTTCATCTTGAGAATTAAGAATGAGGGCATTCACCTCATTTTTAATAAGTTCATAAATGTATTGGCTATTCGTATGTCCTGTGAAATACCTTGCTGATGGTCTTAACATTTTTCTATTAGGATATTGGCCTTTTTCTCATTAATTTGTATGAAGGCTTTATAAATTAAGGAAATTAGCTCATGGGCACTTTGGATTGCAAGTAGTTCTTCTATGTATTTTGTCAGTAATGGAGATTGAGAGAAGGGAGTACTGAGATTGCTTTTTTTTTTTTTTTTTTTTTTTTAATTTTGAGAAGGTCTCACCAAGTTGCACAGGCTTGCCTTTAAGCTGGTAATCTTCCTGCTTCAGTCTTCCATGTAGCTGGATTAGTTATGAGCCATCATGTCTGGCTTTCCTATTTATTTTGTTTGGGTTTTGTTTTGGAGATAGGGTCTTACTATGTAGTTCAAACTGGCCTTGAACTCACTAATCCTCTTGCCTCAGCCTCCCAAGTGCTGGGATTATAGGTGTGTACCACCATACCTGGCTACTATTTGTTTTTGAAAAATTTGTTTTCAGTGCTAGGGATTGATCTCAAGCCCTGAAGTATACTAGACCAGTACTTTACCACTGAGCTACATCCTACCCCTGGACAATTTTATAGGCTTTTTTTTTTGGGTGGGGGCATAAACCTTCATGTTTATATATTTAAGATTATCAATCTTTCCTTTGTTGTTCCTAGCTTTTGTATTCTGACTAGGAAGACCTACATGGGAGGGGGGTCATTTAATATCACTTTAAACCTGAAAAGGGGAAACTCTTCAAATATTCAGTTGCAGGTTTTACACTAATGGAATTACATACATAAACACTACCAAATGATACTACAGGGGTGGTCATGTGGGTTGAAGCTGGCTCTGTATAATGGAGGTGTGGATGGTGGAGGTGGAAGGTGGAATTAAAGTGAAGGAGCATATGATTTGGTAGGAAGAACTCTGGGCTTGGAACATAGTAATAAGGTCAAAGGCATTTGAGTCAGTGAGCTCAGCCAACTGTTCAATGAAAATCTAATGAGATGCATAAGTGGAACAAATACTAAGTGACTGAGCCCTGGAAAATCCTCACATCCCATTTTGAAATTTCTAAGTGAATAATTTGTATGTTCCCAAGCAAATGAGCTTTTATTTTTCATTTTAAGTGAGTTGATAAAGATCTATTTTTTAACATGTTGTCTCCTGGCTATTTTGATAGAACCCAAGACAATCAGAGAGCCGGGATGTTTTGTAATCCAGCTAAAGTGAGGAAGTTGAGGCCCAGATTGAGAGCCCAAATCATAGCTGGAACTGAGGCCAGAACAGTCCCTCAAGTCCCAACCTGGTCTCCTAATTTAGTATTCCTCCCATGGAATCCTCTTAAGTGAGACATGGCAGAAATGCCAAAAAATATGAGCTGGTGACTTACTGAAATTGTTTTGTTTCCCAGCCTCAAATCACTTTTAAAATCATCCTCACAATAACCTTCTAAATATAATTGTTCAACATATATGTCTGATACATACATATGTATCAAATTGGTCAGTGATTCATTGTGACAATAGCTGACATAAACTCATCAACTAATAAATCAAAATGAGCCTATAAAAGTGACAGGAACGTCATATTACAATCCAAAGGAATTATTATGAATATTATAAAGAGCAGATCTAGGACTAAGAAGAGGGGCTGGGGTGCAGCCCACGGGTGCTTAGTACATGTGAGACCCTGGATTAAATGTGTAGCGTGTATGCAGGAACACAGGCACACACACACAAATACTGATGGGGACCTGATAACGTGCAATATGGAGGAGGGTGTGAAAAAACAGATTCTCTTTTATGCTCTTGTTCAACACATAAACTGAAACCACTTGTTTTGCAATACCTATCAAAATTTAAATGTGCCTTTGGCATGATCCAGCATCACGCATGTGGATATACAGAGGTATGTGGAAGAATATTTATCATAGCATTATTTAACATATTTAAAATTAAAATAACCAAAGTAAAATAAATCAGACTTGCATGTGTATTGTATTGCCTCCCTGCGGTGAGAAACTGAAAGGGTAAATATGGTTCAAAACGCACAATAGATGTTGTGAAATTGGAAGAAATTGTTCTAAAGGAAAAAGGAACTAGGAAGGAAGGGAAAGAAAAACTCAAAATACAAGATAGTTACCCTACTAGTTTCTCTTAGTTCATTGAAGGGAAAGATTTGTGCTAGTATCATTTGGAGAATTTTTTAAGCACATATCTTGTACTCTGATTTAAAGAAAAAAATGTACCGTTGTTATTTTCCTAATATTTTGTTATGAAATTTTTTATACTTTTTTCCACAAAGTAAAAAACCAAAACCAACATAAACATTATTTTACATTATTTTAAAAAATAAATTATTCTTTATTTAAAAAAATTAAATTAACCTAATGTCCATGAAACTAAAATAAGGCATACTGGGCTGGTGAGATAGCTCAGCATACTAAACACCTGCTTAGGCAAGCGCAGGCACTGGGTTTTGATATCCTGCACCATGTGCTGCCCTGGATTAGGCATGCTGGCCATTGAGCTCAGGTGTGGTGGCAAATGTCTGTAATCCCAGCACTGGGGAGCCTGAAAAAAGGAGGATCACTACAAGTCCAAGCTGCTTAGTGAGACCCTGTACTAAATACAAAACAAAGGAAAATAAAATAAGGTGTCCCATATTATACTATATTACTCTGAACCAGTAAGCTAGATCTTTGTGGTTCAATGTAACTATATTTTAAAAATGTGCAAGTTATTGAGAGGATGATGTCTTTTGTGTAAGACTTTCCTGTGCTCCTAAAACAGTACAATATTTTTGTGGGTATACTATGTATATAAAACTATTTCTAAAAGATCTGGAAGGATTTACCCCAAGTTTACAGCAGCAGGTATCTCTGGGAATTAGGATGAGATTAGGCTAGAGTCAAAGAGGATTTGAAATGCACTGATATTTTTAAAAAGGGAAAATTCCCATGTACCTGACATGCTCAAACATTATTTTAAATAGCTAACATGAATAGCTAATAAGATCTTCCCCCAAATGGAACTGTTCTATTTGGCATGTTCTTCACTCCAGTAGCTTTCTATATATCTGAATACCATCTAACTTCCCTGTTGGATATGGATACAGAATTCAAGCTCATTCCAAAGAGCAACAAAATGTCGTTCTTCTGAGAAAGTTATTCATAGCACAGCCTACTCAGGGTCTAATTATTCAGTGTGCAAATTATACAAGTTCCTTTTTTCTCCTTCACATCTACCTCTTTTCTACTGCCCACTCACTTCTAAATGACTTTATTGACCTTCTGCGTCTTTACCCCAAAATGCAAGGGACATAGATAAGAGGGGAAAGTTAGCTCAGCCATTTCTCCCCCTAGATACTGGAAAGTCTCGCTGGAAGGTAAGAGTTGGAATTATTTGGCAAAGATCATATGTGTCTGGCTATCTATGGATCTACAACCCTTCTTATCCTGGCAAGAGTAAGGAGTTGTTTATAGGCATTAGAGGGACCCACCAACCTTCTGTAAATGCTAGGATTGTCATAATTGGAATACCTCCTGGGAGGAGGCCTTTATTTCCAGAAGCTCATGAAGGAAATGCAAATGTGCATAATAAATATGTGCCTATACCAAACATGGTCTGGATCAAATGCAAAAATAGGATGTATGAGTAGCCTTCAAAAAGCACCTTAATGATAATAGTAGCCAGCACTATACTAAAATCTTCACAGAGATTATTTCATTCGATCATCACAGCAGTTCATGAAGTCAGCATTATTCTCATATTCTCTCTCTCTCTCTCTCTCTCTCTCTCTCTCTCTCTCTCTCTCTCCCTCTTCCTCTCCCTCTCCCTTTCCCTCCCTCCCCCCCCCTCTGCTCTGGTTGGGCTTGAACCCACTTCATAGACCAGGCTGGTCTTGAACTTGCAACAATTCTCCTGCCTCAGCTTCCCGAATGCTGGGATTATAGGCATGTGCCACCACATGCAGTTTATTATCTCATCTTTTGAAGATGAGGAATCTGAGAGCTTAACAGTTATTTGGCTGTCTCACAATCAGTCTAAGTGGTGCAGATGGAATTAGGGCTGACCACAGTGCCCACATTCTTAGTATTTACTATTTTATTCAACCCTAGCATAGATTGGCTTATTATGCCAACTCTTTGAGAGCAAAGAAACAAGTCTATACTCTTGGGTAGTGCTACAAATTGTCCATTTGTTATCGATTCATTACCATATGTATGATGCTCATAATCATATACTGATTTCTAGTTTGTCTTCTCCAGGTTAAAAATTCTGTGAATTTTGTGATTAGAATTTGTTATTTACCATTTTATCCCTGGTTACTAGCCCACTACTTGGCACATAGTATGTACCCAGTACATTTTTGTCAAATGAGACAGACTGAAGGAAGACCTTTCTCTTCTAACTAAACTTAAATGCTTGAGTCTTACAGATCCACCTTCCCTAAGTGGAAACAACTTCCGAACAGTTGAAGAAGATGATGATGTGAACTTGGTTTGCAACGTGAAATCCAACCCACAGGCTCAAATGATATGGCACAAAAACAACAGCATCCTGATATTAGAGAAGAATCGCCACACAATCCAACAGACAGGAGAATCTTTTCAGCTGTCAATCACCAAAGTCAAGAAATCGGACCATGGAACCTACAGTTGTATTGCAAGTTCACCTCTGAAAATGGAGACCATGGACATTCAACTGGTTGTTAACGGTAACTTTCTTTTAAAGTAATACCCAGGATAGGACAAAACTTAGAATAGAAGCTCAGTACATATACTTGGCGACCACAACTTATGACTACAATTATGATTAGTAGCTGTGATTTTCTTGGCTCACTATCCTTATTCAGAGAATTTCCTACCAAAAAATTCTAGTCCATCCCAAAAATAATTCCCAAAAGAATTATTCCATATAGAACATTAGAACATTGCTGTTTGAGCCAATGTCCTTTCTACAACCTGATGAAGAAAGCAGTTCTGGTTGCTATTTAGGGAAGAGTATTCCCACAAATTATCTTGGACACCAAAGTGTGTAGGAAGTGGACTTTTAAGCTCACAGTCTGATGAGTAAACAGACGAGATTTCAGGAATATACTGACTAGATTTTTTTAAAATAGATCTCTAAAATTGCTCCTCTCACATTCTAACCTGTAAGCTAAAGAGAAGAGAAGGTAGGGAAAATAATGGGAAACAAAATCATAAAGCTCTTTCTTGTGGCTTTATGCGTCATCTACCCAGCTTTATCATTGCTGTTACAATAGAAAACAAATGGAGTTCTGTGTGTTTTCCCTTGTCATGTTTCTTGCTCATATAAAAAGAAAAGGCAAGATACCTGGTGCAGCAGATGAAGAAAATGCTCATGCACACATTTTCTGGTCTTGAGCCAGGATGTAAGGAGCAGCCAAACAGGCTGAGGCTCCTGCATCTTGTTAGAAATTATTCATTTTGTCACTTGCCTCCCTGTACCCACTCATTGCCATTCTTGCCAATCCTCAGGAAACCAGCTGAATCCCTGCCAGAAATGATGAACTGCTATGCCTGTAGGATGTCTTACTTCCTCCCTTGGCCCACCCAGAGGGATCTGGGACATGAATAGAGTGCCCGGTGGGAAGGAAGAGTTGCTGTTGGGTGATTTCCAATCACTGTGACTAGTGTCCTGTTCAATAATTTGTCCTGCAGAGCACCAATAGCATGTGTAGGGGCTACTTGCTTTAAAAACCAAATAATAACCTAAGAATCCCTGGGACAAAAGTGGTGGGAGGGCCATCATCTCGAAGCTTTTGACTTGTTACTTTTCTCAGGTCCACAGAAGCACGGTAGGACAGCATCACACCGTGGTCCTAACTGGCTGTAAGACCACTCGGAGACTAGGGGATTATAGCATTCCTTTTGTTAAAAAGAGATTATAATTGCTCTATGCCTTGCAGGTGGGCAGAAACTTATTTTGGGTGGAGCTTTTCCAGACCAACTTGTTTTTCTTCTTGCTTTGTTATTTCCCTTGCTGTTGGCTGCCTTCATAACATAAGTGCTCTGCTTTCTGGGGCTCAAGCTCACAGCCAAGTTTTCCACAAGGCTCTCCCAGCTTCACTGCACAGTGGGGAAGTTTCTAAATGAGGCCCTGCAAAGCTGGAAATGACATCATGGAGCTTTTCTTGAGCCCAAGATTTAGCCCACGTGTTGGAATTATTTCGCTGTAATGAATAAGGGGGAGGGGACACAAAGTCTGGTTACAATTGAGAGTATAAAAACAAAAAGGGAGAGAGGTACAGTTAGCTACATTTTTCAACATCAACTTGGGATCAAATGATTCAGTGTGGTCATTTTATCTCAGCTTGCTTATTAAATGAAAGCAGTGGCATGTGTCTTCATTTTATTTCACCAGGTAAAAATAGTCCAGCCTGTGGCTGAATTCTGATTTCTTTTCTGATTCATCCCAGCTGTGCTTCCCCTTTGTTTTGATGTCTTTCTATGGAATACAATCCCTAATAAGGTCCTTGGTGAACCCCAGAGCTGGCTATGATAGAGCCAGAGCTTCTAGGAGGCTCACTGAGGAAGGTTTCTCCAGAGGGCTGGTATGACCCCAACTTTCCTGAAAACAGCTTTTAGGTATAGCTAATAGAGGGTATAAATGAAAGAAGTTTGGGGTTCAGGAATAGACCTTATTCTTAGCATGTGTGAGGCACTGAGTTTAATTCCCAGCCCCAAAAGATAAAGGAGGAAGAGAAAGGGGAAGAGGAGGGGACGGAAAAGGAAAGGAGGAGCCAAGGGGCAGGAGAAAGTAGAAAAGGGAGGAGAGAACAAAAAAGAAGAAAATAATAAAAAGCAAAATGTAAAGGATGTTTAATCCATTAGCCCCTGAAATTAATTGTGAGGAATTGGCAACAAATGGGAAGAATATAATTAAAACCTAACTGGTCTCCATCCTAATCCGCGGCATATAGGCCATTGGCTTTGAAATTAGATTTATCTAAAAATCCCCTTCTTCCCTTCTTCCACCTTTCCCTCTTCATATGTCAGCTCATGACCCTTTCTTCTTTGTAGTTTTTCTTTGTTTAATGTCTGTCTTATCCACTAGAATAGGAGCTTCGGAGGGTAGAAGCCTTCCATGTCTGTCCTATTCTTTCACAGGGTCAAGCATAGCACTTAATGCACATTAGTCACTCAGTACATCCACAAACTCCACCTCAATCCACAAGCTCAATTGTACAATTAGTAGCACATTCTATTTTCTTTAAATCCCTGAAATTTTGTCTAAGTCATAATAGGATCCCATTTCATTCCTCTTTTGGCATTAGACTCCTGTGTTGGACAAGTTCATTGAAAAACTTACATTGGTCCTTGGCACTTTTACTTTTGAGAATTTCACCCCATATCATCTGAAACATGTTAACACAAAGCACATTACATGGGACTCTTTAAACGTTTTGAAAGGTGTTTTATACTTTGTATAAATTCTTAATTTTATTATAAATAAGTTGTTAATTTTATTCTTGAGGTTGTAATATTATTATTTGGCAGGGGTTATAGTTGATACATGATCACATTTTATTGATGTTTAAATGTGTATTCACTTTGATTAATTTTGTATTTTGGAGCAAATACTTTTTTCCAGGCTCTGAGTTTACCTGGTACTCAGAAAATAAGGAAGTGGGCTTCATTTCCAAGTTGTCTTCCTGACCCACAATGGTTATAGACACCCTGAAACTGGCACAGTGGTGCCCACCTATAATCTTTTTTTTTTTTTTGCGGAACCGGGGATTGAACTCAGATCCTTGCATTTGCCAGTCAAGCGCTTATCCTACTGAGCCATCTCCCTGGCCCCATACACCTATAATCTTAATACTATGGGAAACAAAACTAAACCAAAAAAAAGGGATATAAATGAAGAACCATTTTGTAGTGAAATATATATAATAAGATAGATATACAGCTACTTTCTCTTAATTCAATGAGAAGAAAAATTTGTACAAATAGTGTTTGGACAGGATATCATGTCTGCATCTTGTACTATGAATAACTACTATGAAGACAACAATAAGCAATGTATTAATTATTGAAACTGTCCTACTAATAGGTTTTGAAACTGTCTCATTGTTATTTGTTTTTCAATAAAATTAATAAAAATAAATAAATATAAAAAATTAATACTATGGGAAGCAGAGGCAGGAGGATAGCAAGCTCAAGTCCAGTCTGAACAACTTAGCAAGTTAGAGAGACTGCATCAATATAAAAAATAAAAGAGTATAGATGTAGTTCAATGTGAAGGCCCTGAGTTCAATTTTTAGTATTAAAGAAAAAAAAAAGTAGATACTTCCATGATCATTTAACACATATGAAAAATCTTTGTCAAATTGGGAAGGCTAATGCTGGAGGTCCTATTTCCCTGAAGGACACCATGCAGCCCCTTCTAAAATGTCTCCCCACCCTGTTGGCATACTGTCTCAGTGGAAGTACAATGATCATTGTCCCTACTGTTCCTAGAGCACTCCCTAATCCAGAGAACTCTCAATCCTTTGTCTTCTTGCTCTAAAGCTATTCTCCCTCTCTTTCTCCTTTTATGGTACCTTATAACATCTTTGGGGACTTTTAAATAACAACAATAACAAACAAACAAAAAAAACCCACTGACTAGCCTGATTCTGTTTTCTGTGTAGTAAACATGGAAGATTCAGAACAAGACTGTTTACTTTCTTTGAGGGAATTATTTATAATAAAGTATTCTTTACAAAGGAACAAATTCAAAGCTTGCTCCTATACTAGCTCTGTGACTTTGGAAAAGTAACTTAACCTTTCTTTTTTCTTAATTTTTCAAAAGTCTTTTATTTATTTGGTACGGGGTCTTGCTCTGCAGCTTGTACTCATGGCGATCCTCCTGTCTCAGCCTATCCAGCACTGGGATTGCAGGCATGCACCACCACTCCCGGGAGGTTTAGGTGGCTGGCACAGTGCACCAGGAGTTCTGGGGCCAGCCTGGCATGTGACACCAGGGATCAAAACTGTGTCCTTGCGCTTGCCAAGCAGGTGCTTAGACTGCTGCACTATCTCTCCAGTTAGCTATTCTTAACTAAATAGGACTTAATTAAGTGCAAGACATCTTGTCTAGGACATATTAGAAGCACATAAGTTAGAAGCATCTATGTTTTAAAGATAATAAAAGTTAAAAAAAAATAGAAACTAATAGAATTCACTAAACAAAATATAGGAATTCAATAGTGGTTGTTATATTGTATATTGTTGTCTTCAAATTAGTTGTTCAGATTACCAGATATAAGAATGCAAAATTGGTCAAAAAAAGGTATAAAAACTTAAAAAGGAGAAAAAAGTAAGTATTAACTGCTCCTTTCAAAACTGTTCAAAGGGAAGGAACAACTGGGATGAGGGAAAGGAGAAAAGAAAGAAGCAAGGGAAAAAGATAGAAGCACCTAAATGTTCATTTTCATTCTGTTTTTCCAGATAAGACTGTGCCTCTACCAGTAGAAGCTATTATTGCTGCATGTGTTGTAGTCTTCCTGACACTGTGCTTTGGACTGTTTGCACGAAGGCAAAGAATAATGAAGGTATCTAAGTGTTCTGGGAATTTGGTTAAAAGCCATCTAAAGGGCTGGGGATATAATTCAGTGGTAGGGTACATGCTTTACATGCAAAATGTCCTGAGTTTTAAGCATTGCAAATAAAACAAATTAATATTGCTGATGAGAATGAAAGTTATACATATATTGTAAGTATAGCTTTTCAAAAAATACAAGTAAATATGAGTGAGGCCTAAATAAAAACAGTTCTGGTGTTAGGGACTTTGGAGTTGATTTGTCCTCCTTCAAAATTTCTCTTCATTGTTACTAGGTTGTCTGTGAGTCAATAAGCAAACAGGAAGAACATCTGCTCTGGATTGAGAGCTCCACATGTTCACCTCTTGAGTACAGCCACAGGCCCTGGCTGGAGTGGGCTGGACTTTGAGTTGTTGGGTGGCTAACCTCACTGCCAAATGTGATTCAGCATATATCTGTGTGTAGATTAATGCCACACACTTGACTCTGCCAGTTAACTCAGTGGTGAAGGAGGGCAAACATGGCAGAAATGCTTCTAAAGAAAAGCCACTCTGCTGAGGTCATCATTCAGCAAGGGTCATCTTCCTGGTAGTACATAGCTCAGTGTTATTCAGCACAGTGATGTTTCGCAAGAAGTTCAACTTAACCTTTGTTCCAATCCAAAGCAAATTTTGCTATTGAAAAATGAAATACCCCACTATCTAAGCATGGAAGCACCCTAATTAAGAGTTTTATTTTCTCCAAGGTCAATAAAAGCTATTAATGTGGCCAAAGACATAAGACCTGGGCCAGTGCAGAGGTAGCTGTATGTCCACAGCACTGATTCTTAAGCCCCTTTGATACATCCACAATGTTTCCCCGGGAGCTTTAGAAAAGCAGGCACATTCATTGCTCTTGTTTTGTTTACTTCTAGTTCTGCATGAAGAAGAGAGACCCTGACAGAGATACAGCCTTGTAAGTACTCCTTCTGCGATGAGATGAGACATGCAGAAAGGCAAAGGGGTTTACAGACTAGAAAGCAGAGGAAAATCTGCCTTCACGTTACAGGAAGGCATGTTGGAAGCTTGCCTGGAGCTGAGAGCACCTTTGGGTCTTACGCCTACTCTCTTAACAAGTTTGGCCGATGCTTATGCAACTAACTGTATTGCCACACAGAGCCAATAAGAGGGCTTACCCTGGAGGAAAGTCATGATGTATTACTAATTCCCAATTAGGTCAGGGCTATATTTTTCAGCCCAAATATTCCTTCTCTTTGGAGCTTTCCTATAGTCTGTCAGCTCCACATATCCAAAATACATGAAGGAGGCAGGAGGTAGTAAGAATGAAGGCATTTTGCTGAGAGGTTGGATTTTGTTCTGAATTTTTCATATTCTTATGATCATCATTATAATTAATTTCTTGGTTCATTTCAGATGAGAAAGCTGAGGTGGTATTTCATACAGGAAGAGTTCTATATCAGGACCTCCTCAATGTATGCAGTCCATCTGTATTTATTGCTATTATTAAATATACCCCTGTCAACTTGTCAGAGGTTATGAAGAAGTGTTTCATTAATCATTTACAGTAGTTGTAATGACTAACATGATAACTCTCATGGAGCAGTTTTGTGGAGAAAAGTGTTTAAAATTCAAAGAAAGATTTTGTTGTCTTCTGCTTAAAGAATATGTTAATACATTGAAATTTCTTTCAATTAGATTGGGAACCATTTACTACTTGGTTTGTATTTTTCTAGGTAAGATATTAGCAGGCAGTTGGGTTTCATAAATCAGTGCAATATAAAAAAAACCACACACCAAACTTTTAATTAAAGTGGGAGAACCAAAAGGGTAATCAATTTTTTAAGTTTTCCAGAGAAGGACATAAGAAATATCAGTGATCACTTTTACCATCATTCTATATGAAAAAAAAAAAAAAGTCTTAGGACTAAAGAAAGTAAAAAGGGTAAAAATCTCACAATCTGAAATACTCCTTTACATGAAATAAATTTAGTATTATGAAAACCTCAATGTAGTTCTTTATTTTTATCATCATACCATGGTTGAAACAGTGACAAAATCTGTGGCTCTGGGTGGTAATGAATGTGGGAAGAAGAGTGGAGCCGGTCTGGCCAGCATGTCCTTTGCCTCTTTTTCAATAGTCCCTTTGCATAGACCTGGTTGTAATTATGAGTCAGCCTGTACTCTTCCTATACATATCAACTTTAAATTGCAGCTTGATTATAATTTATCACTGGCTCCCCCTCTAGACCTCCATCCTTTTTTCATGTTTTCCCCCTTATGAGTCTATGCTTCTCTTTCATACACAACTGGGAGGAACTAAGGAAGAGGCAGCCCTGGCCAGAACCACTTCCCTGTCCCCCTCCTTGGTCATAGTTTGTTGTTGTTTGTTTATCTGTTTGTCTTGGTGGTGGTGGTGGTGGAGATTGAACTCTGGGCCTTGCACATTCTAGGCAAGCACCTTATCATTGAGGGATGTCCACACCCCCAACTCCCAATTTTTAAAAAATCAATACTGGAGTAGTATGACACAGCAAAAAAAAGAGAGTCCAGTGAGAGAAGAAAGGAGGGGTGAAAGGATGGAGACACAGACAGATAGACGACAGAAAGACAAAGATTGTGGTTTGCAGTTTACTCTGTCTTCTTGGAGGTTCCAGCAAAGTTTTATGTGGGGAAGCCTCCAGACTATACCTCTTTATCTGAGACTTTTCAAAGTAGAATTTGGAAGCCCTGTAAAATGCTTTAAGGACAAATAAAGAATGACTGAGGAAATCTGAATATTTACGTGACTTAGTAGAAACATGGAGATTAAAGAAAAAGAACAGAGGAAACAAACAAACAAAAAACGCTTACATATCAAAATAGACTTAAAATTAGGAAAATTGAATTCCAGTCTTGGCTGGGTTGTCTTGTGTAAGTCCTTTTCCTTTCTTGGGCCTTCGGAAAATAAAGTGATTGAAGTAAGAGATACTTAAAGTATACGTGAGCTTGCCAGTTCTAAGATTCTCAAAAGACTCCCATACAGTTCAGTTAAGTGCAGGAAGGAGTTGGCAAGAAAGACTGAAAATGTAATACCTTTGCCCCACCTAACAGAAATATGAATCAGCTTTGTTCTGGGACATATAACAATCCTGGAGACTTACAGGTCATCAGTAAAGAGTTTCTTCACCTGTATAAAATACAATGACCTGGCCCATTAGCACAAACAAGAAATATTAACCAGTTTAAACAGAGCAAGGCAATATCATAAAGGGCCATTGCACTTCATTTTTACCTTTCAGTTTAGAATAGACAGAACACGCATTAAAACTATATCCATTGTTAACTATGTCTGTTGTTACAATAAAAAATCAGCCTGCTTAGAATCATATGAAGTTCCAGAACTCAAAAGAGGGCCCTATCACCTTTGTCTGTTTTTTCTGTTTGTTTGTTTTAACCTGCCATTAGATACCAGAAATTCCAACATTCATGCTTCTGGTTTTGATGTTTTTAATAGAAAAGTAGCAAAGCCAGTGAACCCTTCTCAATCTTTCCACTAAATTTTTCATTATTGCTTTTCATTTTTGAATTTCATTATTTTTTCCTTCATTCTTCTTTTCCTGGTGGCGCTGAGAATCAAACACAAGACTTTGCACAACATAGGCAAGTGCACTGCCACTGAACTATACCTCCAGTAGCCCCATTTTTTTTTTTTATTTTTATAGAACTGATCCACCAAAGTTCAGGGATAATCATAAGGAACTAAATCCAAGGACAGCTAGTTATACCATGTGGACAATTTTTACCTGCATTACTTGAGCCCATAAACCATCCTTTGAAGTAATCATAATTGTATCAACATCGAAGATGAGAAAGACTGGGCTCAGAATGCTTAACTAACAAAAAGAATGACTAAGATGGGATTCATATCCAAACTGATCCAAAGCCCAGGGGCTGGGGCAGGGCAGAGGCTATCACAAAAGGAGCAAAGGTTGCATAATAAAAAAAAACAAGCTCACCTCCCTCCTAAAGTGCAGAGTGACGTCAGTATCATCTCTACTTTTAATGACTTGTGCAGAATTTATTTAAGTAAAGGGAATTTACAATAATCTTGGTTGAAGAGCCTTCAGGAAATGTTACAACACTCCTTGAGAGAGTTTCCCATGTCTGGCAGTGCTTAACTACTGCCTTAAATATTTGCTTGTCTTCCTACTGATAATTATCACCAAGTATTACAGTGTTAAAGGGTTTGCATAGATTGTTTCTTATCTTTGCAACAATCTTAAAAGGTGGGTGTTGCTATCTCCAATTTACAAAGAAATGAAGGACCAGAGAAACAGAATGATTTGCTCAACACAAAGCAGATAGTATGAGGTAGAGCTGGAGTCAAATCCAAGGCAGTCTGACCCCACAGTCCATGCCAGTCACTTTATACTACCCAATCCTGGGACACGAAGATAGGCAGTTGAGCCAGTGAGCACACCTTGCTCTTTGGGGAATTGGAGCAGAGATACTTATCACTCCACATTGTTGTGCTCTTTCACATTTTCTTGCTCTTTGCCATTCACTTCTCCATGGGACTAGTTCTATTCAAGGGACTGTGGATAGAGTGGCATCACTTCTAGGCACTCAAGCAGAGCATGTGCATGTTCTTTAGATTCTTTCTTCTCCTGAAATGGGAACTGGGGAAAGATGTCAGAGAGCCTGTCACCCTGGAGCTCTGAATAACCAGGAGGAGCAGAGTTTCTTGCTTATGAGTAAAGGAAAAACAACCACTGTGTTAAGCCTCTAGAGCAGGGTTGGAGAACCTTTTAGAGACTGAGTGCTCAAACTGCAACCCCAAGTCCACTTATTCATTGCAAAGTACCAACACTGCAACTAAACCTGAATATTGAGGTTTCAGTTCAGAAAAAAAAATCAAACATCAATGTCTCTTGTCTTAAAAGAAAAACACAATCCTAACAACAATTTTAAAAGGTAGGTGGTGAGCCTATGCGTGCCACAGGCTTGCCACCACTACCCTAGACTTCAGAGATAATTCTTTTTTTTTTTTTTTTTTGTATTTTAGGGAAGGGTCTAAAGGGTGTTCGGGGTCTCACTACTAGATCAGACTCATAGTGAACCGCCTGTTTACAGCCTCCTAAGAGCTGGGATTACAGGCGCACGCCACCATGCCCAGTCTCAATTGCTGTCTCAGTACGCCCCTGGGGTGGGACTGGTACAGTAGGCGGGGGATCGAATCCCCAGGCGCTTTAATGGGCTGAGATATTTGGCTGGCCCTAGAGATACTTTGTTATTGCAGCATAACTTAGTCTCTTCTGATTAATGCACTTTTCATTACAATAAGAATTCAGGATTGGCTAGCAGTATAGATAGCTTGCTTGCCTAGTATGGACAAGGCTCTGGATTTAATACCCAGCAAACACACTCTTTCTCACTTTTTCTCTCTTTGTTTTTTGGGTTTTTTTGTTTGTTTGTTTGTTTGTTTGTTTTTAGACAGGGTCTTGTCACATAATTCAGACAGGCCTTGCACTCACTATGTAGCCCCGTGTTGTAGACAGCTGAGTTAGATAAAAATATTATAGTCAAACAAGGCTATGACCTCAAAAGAGGCAGTGTGGAAGATGAGATACCTTGCAACTATGGGAGAGACAGGCACCTCCAACTGTGGGTCAGTCCTCAAGACAAAAGACAAAACAAATGAGCCCACATACCTCCCTAAGGATAAACATCAGAGGCTGATATTCTAAATATCACCTAGAGAAAGTCAGGAAGAGTCACTAACTCAACTTCCTATAGGAAAAGCCCCTGTTCTGTATTTGTGCTCACTTGCTTGCTACGTGACTCATTTCCCCATTTGATCCCACAGCAAATTAAAACGGATACAGTCAATTTTACCTGGGCAATTATGCTTGTTATGGTTGACCATAGTTTTATCCCACTTCATGCCCACCTTGCAATTTTCCATGTTTCTCACTTTGGACCTGCATCACGTCTTGGATTTGTTCTATAAAAATCCCTTTAAAAAGGCAGGACCCTTGGCAGCCTACTCAGGCTTCCTGTCTCTCTTGGGCAGAGCTTTCTTTCCTTCAATGAGTATATTCTTCTCTCCCACTCTTCGATTTTAGAGAACACAAACTGGTCCCAGACATCTAGCAGACTGGGAGTTTCTTTCCCTTATTATCATTTCCCAGGATGCCTCAAACACTCAGCAATGCTCCTGCCTCAGCCTCCTGAGTGCTGTGACTATGGGCATGTACCACCATGCCCAGGTGCAACACACAAGCTGTTTTAATAAAATAATGCTTAATTTCAGGGGCAAGGTTTTTAATCACTCCTGTCCTTCCCACCATGTTCCCTGAGTTATATAAAATGCTGAGTATATGCAACAAAATCATATTTTCCCTAATATATTTACATCTTTTGACAATACATCTTTGAAGAAATACAGTAGCAGTAGTACAAGTCTGAATGAAGTCAAATAATATGTATTTTTTAAAAAAATTCAAATTATTCTGAATTTTATGTCAATGGTTTTAGAGAACCAAATGTGTACATTAATCACAAATGTCTTTATGTTCATGTAATCTTTTTACAAAGTTTACCTCCGCAACATTAAGGTGATTGTATAGCAAACAACTTACACTATGTTTTGTTTTCATTTATATTACGCTAAAAGACATGGAGGACTCTATTGTGAATTTTAAAAATTGAGTTCTCTTCAAAAAATGAAGAGCCCAGGTGTGGGGGCACATGACTGTAATCCCAGCACTCAGGAGGCTGAGACAGGAGGACGGTTGTGAGTTCGAGACTGGCGTTGGCTACAAAGTGAACTCAAGGCCAGCCTGAGCTGCATAGTGAGACCCTGTCTCAAAAAGACAAAGACCAAAAAAAAAAAAAAAAATCAGAC